TTGGAATTCCCACATTACTCATTCCTTGGGTTAAGCCATTTTTTTTTTGAAAGCCCCTGTTAAAATGCAAATGTTAACTTCAAGGGAGAACTGTTTTTTGTTGTTGTTGTGTTTAGCCATTAGGAGGTAAGTTCATGTTAATTTTTTTAAACAGGAAATGGAATCTAGAAAGGAATCACAGCCCCTAATGAGGTGGACAGGTTAGGAATGGGATGCTGTCCAGGGTTGAGGTGTCAGGGCCTTGCTGGGGAGGTGCAGTGTGCTAAAGACAAGTTCGTCTTCCTTTGCATGGAATCAAAATGGCGTAGCATGCCCAAACCTCAGCCTGGGCATACTCCAGTGTACAGTTCAGGATCAAGTTTCTACAGGAGGTTAGGTAAGAGGGCAAGGGTCCAGTAAAGGGTTGTGTGCCCAGACAATGGTCCTATCTTTCCTCCCACCCAAATACCCTTCCTGGCCTGGCTGTGAAAGGTAGATCACCAGCCCCTGCCCAGACTCTGGGAGTCTGCCTTGCTGCGTCCAGACCTGGTTTTTGTTTTTTGTTTTTTTTTCCTGTGGTCCTATCTCCTCACAGATTCATTCTCCTGGCCCAGAGACTCCCCAACCTCAACTCCCACCTCTATCTGGTTTTAGAAACATGCTATTTTTCTCCTGAAGAATCCGGCATGGCTTACCATTTATTTCACCTTTCACATTTTCTCCCCTCCCCCAGCCTCAGTCCACAAAATCCAATCCTATTCTCCATCCAGGAAGGGGCATCCAATATCCATGGACAGTGGGGCAACAAGCACAAAGACATAGAGACATAGTAATTAATCGATTAACCTCGAACCTTTTCTTTCACTTCAATTATTGCTAACCTTTTTTAATGTGATTATTTAACGAACATGATTTTCCTTCTAGGCGAAAAGCTTCAAGAGGATGGCTTCCCTGTGTGTCTTTCATGTTCCCTGTTAGAAACCCAGTAGTGCCACATAGGAAACACTCAGTGAATGTGTTCAGAATACATAAGTGGACAGACTCATAAAAGCTTCATTCTATATAGACTAGCTTACGTAAACAACACTAATGATACTTGCAGCAGCACACGGCAGACATAATCCAGGATGGTAAATTTGAGCAGCTGAAAGATTCATTGTAGTCTGCAGCCAGAGCCCCCAAGACCAAGGTTTTCTGTAAGAGGAGCAGGTCATCTCCTAGTTATGATAACCTGAGAGGACTGGGAAGGTCCCTGGGCCAAAAATTCTTTTCACCTGTCTCTCCAGAAGCTTACATTCTATTAGTGGGGATGATATTTTAAGCCTATTTGCAAATGCAAATATGTTCACAGTGTGCAGGACACGTTAACCCACCGCCAGGGTTCTTTTTGGACCTAAGAGTATTTCTTTCCAAATGAGCAATTGGTCTCTGGTGCCAAAAGGGACTAACATTAGGATGGGGCACTTGGATGGGAGGAAACCATGGCTCAGGCAGGACCAGCAGCCTTGGACAGTTTCTCCTAGAGCAGAGCTGCTTGCAGCGCCCAGAGACCACCAAGCCAAGGGCAGCTGCCAGCTATTTGGTAAGTGGCCCCTTCTATTTCCTTCCTGTCCTGCCTCTTAGCTCACTGAAGCAGATAAAGGAATCTGGCTGGAAGAAACCGTTTGTCATGTTCCACATCCAACACAGTCAGTCTGAGAATCAAGCCTCATAGGCAGGGATTTGTTTTTCTTTAAAAAAAAATATGCGTGAGGCAGAGAGAGAAAGCAAGAACTCCCGTTTGCTGATTCACTCTCCAAATACTCACAACGGCCAGAGCTGGGTCAGGCAGAAGCTGGGAGCCGGGAACACAACCCAGGTTCCTGTGTTTCAGGAACAGAATCCGTGTGGGTAGCAGGGACCCAGTTACGTGAGCCATCACTGGAGCCTCCCAAGGTTTGCACTGGTGGGAAGCTGGAGTCTGGAGCCGGAGCCAGAAATCAAACGCAGGCACTCTGCTGAGGCATGCAGGCATCTTAATGACTAGGCTGACTGCCCACCGCTGGGCAAAGGTTTTAAGCACCTACTCTGCCTCCCTCTTCCCCATTCCCTTGCAGCCAACAGCCCCCACCTCGGCCATCTGCCCCTGATGCAGCTTTGTGCCGCACAGGCTCCCCAGGTGGAGAAGCTTCCTGAACACGTACCTGTCACAGACGCCCATCCACTGCAACTCCGGGACACCAGACACAGAGGCGCAGCAGCATTCCCAAGGAACACAGAAGCAAGGGCTTAAGAATCAGCTACAGCGAGCCTGCGGCAGCTCCCTGTGCCTCCTGAGGCGCCAAGAGGCGCCGAGTAAAGAGAAACAGTGTCAGGACTGAGGCTGGAACTCAGCTACAGAAAGGGGAACTGACTAGAGAGACCCACCGCCACAGACAGGGGCAGTGTTCTTGGTTCCTGCGAACTTCTGCTGGCAGGTGGGCATTTCCACTGATGAGAATGACTACCAATGCACCCTCGGACAGCGAGCGGCTGTAAAGCCCTGAGGAAACCCCCAAAGACAGCCCCATCCACACACATGGCAAAGACACCTCCCTAACAGACAGACAGCAAGGGCTGCAGCCTGCGAAGCCAAGGCTACAGATTCAGCTCAGTGCAGCCGGTCTGATTGAGCGGCCATGTCCCAAGGTAGTCAGAGCTGCAGGAAGGCAGTCCTCACCCAGGGAGAGCAGAGAGATCCAGGCCTACATGAAGCACCTCTCCGTGGGTGCTACCAGGAGGCAATTAACACGGGCCTTCCCCATTTGCAGATTATTCTAATCTGGTCCTGGCTGTAGGAATCCGGAATGTTCCTGTTACCTTGAGCCAGGATTCCTGGAAGTGAGTGGAACTCTTGCGTTTGGGAACCAGTCATCAGCAGAAGTGGGAAAGGCACATGAATGCCCCCTAGATTTCACCAAAGCTAGCGCTCCACGGGGGCAAGTTTCCCAGAGAAACTCACACGATCCCACCCCAGGCACACAGCACCCTCTTCTGAGCCGCTCAGGCACTGAAAGCTCTCTCCTCCATGTCAGTGATATGTACATGCCTGCGAAATCTGTAGCATTTGCGTTCAGAAGGAGAGAAGCAGTCCCATGCCTCCTCTGTTCCCTCAAGGCTAGCTGTCCCGCAGGGATGGAAGCAACTAAAAGTGACAAATTAAAATTGCTCTTGACTGAATGGTGAATTGAGGAGGCATATGGTCCAGCAGGCGCAGTGGGCTTGAAACTGGGGGTCCCAGAGCAAATCCACAAAGATCTTCCTTCTAGTTCCTCCCAAACCGATCTGTAAACGCTTGCACCTTCCATTCAGGGTCCCTCAACCCCTAGGGCTCCTGCCTGGGTCCTGGGCCCTGACACACAGCTCAGCCCTTCCCAGTAGCTGTTCTATTTGCACATTTTGGAAACCTCACCCTTCCCACGGAGGGGTCCCACCTGGGGTTTTCCTCTGGATTTTATAATGACTTTTTTTTTTAATTTAGAAAGCGTCCACCGGGGTCCGGTGCTGTGGCGCAGTAGGTTAATCCTCTGCCTGTCACGCCAGCATCCCCGTTTCTGTCCTGGCTGCTCCTCCTCCTCCTCCTCCTCTTCTTCTTCTTGTTCTTCTTCTTTTTACGATTTATTTATTTATTTTAAAGAGTTACACACAGAGAGAAGGAGAGGCAGAGAGAGAGAGGGGACAGAGAGAGAGACAGAGAGGTCTTCCATCGGCTGGTTCACTCCCCAATTGGCCGCAATGGTCGGAGCTGTGCCAATCTGAAGCCAGGAGCCAGGAGCCTCCTCCTGGTCTCCCATGTGGGTGCAGGAGCCCAAGGACTTGGGCCATCCTCCACTGCTTTCCCAGGCCACAGCAGAGATCTGGATGGAAAGTGGAGCAGCCAGGATTTGAACCAACGCCCATATGGGATGCCGGCACTGCAGGAGGCGTCCTCATCTGCTATGCCACAGCGCCGGCCCCTGCTCCTCTTCTGAGCCAGCCCTCTGCTATGGCCTGGGAAAGCAGTAGAAGATGGCGCAAGCGCTTGGGGTGTTTGCACCCTTGTGGGGGACCCGGAAGAAGCTCCTGGTTCCTGGCTTTGGATCAGTCCAGCTCTGGCTGTTGCAGCCATTTGGGAGTGAACCAGTGGATGGAAGACCTCTCTCTCTCTCTGCCTCTCTGTAACTCTGCTTTTCAAATAAATAAATCAATCCTTTTTATTTTTAAAGGAAAAAGTAGACATGATAAGTTGTAACCCACCATATTTATTTGAGTGGTCTACTACATTTTTGTATTTGTTAATATGAAACTACCTACCCAGTAGAGTACAGGAAATGAATTTATATTTCACTGAATTTTCAAGATTCCTTCTTTTCCTTGTACTCAGCAGTCAAAATATAAGCTAGGCTAAATTGAAAGTCCTGCTATTAAAATATTCAGAATAATATTTCCCAAACTTCATTCTAGCCATTAGGACCCCTTCATATCCATGTAAGGACTGTACTATTATTTATATAGGAGTTTTCTCTTGCTATTATTCATATAAGATTTTTCCCTTACTTTGTTTAAGTAAATTTCTTTAAAAAGGAATCTTTGTGTCAATACTAAAAACTTAAGAAAGCAGTATCATTTGCCATAAATAAAGGATGAGTAAAAATAACACATCACATAGGGCTGTGGAATCAAAGACCTGTATTCAAACCACGGCTCCACTACTACGTGTGCGTTCTTGGGGAAGTTGCTTCATCTATTTGAGCTTCGGTTTCCTTACAAAACTAGCACTACACTGAATAGCGCATAGGCTTGTCATGAAGATTAAATAGGGTGATATATATATATATATATATATATATATATATATATATGTTCCTGGCACAGATCCTGGCAGGCATGGAATAGGATAATTTTATTGAAAAAGATTGATTTATTGTGTTCCTTTTCCCATATCCCATTCTCTTATCTCCTCATTTCAGCTCTGCCTAGAGCATCTTGGTTTGGTGCTGTACCACAAAAGTATGGTAAGGTGGGGGTGGGGGGCGGCAGCAGAGACCAGGAGTGACTCAGTGTCATGGAATTCTCTTAGTCCATGACTGCGAGTTGTGAGGCATAAGGGGCCTCACACATCACCATGCTGGCCTCTCACTCTAGCAAGGACCCCCTTGATGTCATCTCTGTGAGATTCATGTCTTAACGCTGCTTTCTCAGTTGTCCTATTAGGAAACTCACTGCCTGATCAGAGTTAGAAAAAATGTCTCTGAAAATAATCATCTCATCAAATCTATTAATCCCTGACTCCCCAGCTCCATAAGTACTAGCTAGCTGATCCGGTCCTGCTTTCTTGAATTGCAGGAATATATTCTTTTACCCTTTTCTATAAGACCCTCCAAGTAGCTGAAAGCAGATATTATAAATTTCCCTACGGTCTCTCCTCTCAGCTAAATATTATCAGTGCCATCAGCTCTTCCTCTAGGCCTCCCAATCAGTTCTCCCGCCAGCACCTTCTCCCTGAGCCGGTCAACATAACTCGGGAGCAGAGAGGGCTCGCGGTGCAAACAGAGCAGAACCGGCGGCGGTGACATCACTTCCGCTCATGAGTCAGCGCTCAGACTAGCCTTTAAAGAGATGCAAGAGGCTGACTGACCACCACTTTGTTTTGGCATGTCACGTCAGATCGCTGCCCCCTTCCCCCTTCTGGTTCCTGTGTCAGGATTTGGGGCCAGCGCCCAGCCAATCCAGAGTCCTCAGACTTCCAGGTATGTCATCAAGCCAAGGGTGGAGACGCTGCGCAGCGATGGCGAGCGCGGGGTGAAATGCTGGCAGGAGGCTGCGCACAACGAAGAAGAGCAGTTCCTCGTGCTTGGCGAGGAGGAAGTTGCTGGTAACCTCAGAAAGCTGATTTGGGGGGGGGGGGCTGCTTCCTCCAGGGCCTCATTCCCGGATGTTCTCTGATCTGAGCAGCCCAAGGCTGCAAGGAAAAGCAGCAGGAGGGAGAGTGGCGGCTACAGATGGCTGTTGCGGGGGTGAGGGGTGGGGGTGAGGTGCAGGTACTTTCTGGATGCCCTCGCCCGCCTTTGCCTGAGAGATTGTGCCCCTGGGGACTGCGTGGTCGGGATCCATTCTGGATGGCAAAGCCAGAGACCTTCAAGCACAGGCAAACAACCAAATACTGGATGCTCCACTTTCAGCTATGTGTTCTTTGCTCTCTACAAATGGTCTCCATGACCAATGGCCGAGACGCAGTCTGAAAGAGTTCTAGGCAGTAGTGTTGGGTGGTTCTAATAGAGGCTAATATAGTTTCCATGGATAAGTACAGCAGCATTTTTTATTGAGATGCTATTTAGTGTTCTTTTTTTTTTTTTAATGACCTTTCTTGATACAGAGAGGGAGAACATCCAAAGTCAGAGTTTTCTAGACTTCTGTGTGAGCCCATGGAGGAAAGGGTGCAGGTGGCCTAGAAGGTGAAGGGAGAGTGAGCGAGCAGTGAGCGAGCAAGCCATAGAGTGCTTGTGAGGTAAGAAGGGAGGCAGGAGAGAGGTATCTGGCTCCTCTGAGCAGGGAGCACTCAGGCACCCCTCCCTCCCTGCTCCCAGCAAGAAGACAATCTCAGGAATGACGGCTCAGGCCTAGAGAGCCAGTGCCTGCAGCTCAGGGGCCTGGACCCGTGGACATTCTCATTCCCCACTGTGGCCGGGGACAGGGAGCTGCCACACTTCCCAGACCACCCGGCATCAGAGAGTGAGGGGGCCACAGGTAACCAGGACAGGCTAGGCACTTAGGGCCCTTTCCTCATTGACCAGGCACCAGGTGGACGTCTTGATATCTGGCTGGGCTGCAGGAGAGGAAGGGGATCCCTGCATGATCAAGATGGAATGGAGGCTCCATGTAAGGGTTAGGATGAACGCAAAGGAAATGAGGAAAGCGGGCTCTCTTACATGCTGGGCTGCATGGCCAGAAATGCAGACCTGAGACAGTATAATCCATGCAAGGGGAACCGGGATGTGAGTGTAAACTGAGCTGCAGGATTGTTCTGAGTTCAGGAGTGTGACACAGCTCAGGGCAGGGCCATCCTCTTATTCTAAGGCCCATTGCACAACTTCTAATGAAGCAGGGTCTGCAGCCACAGTCCCCAGGGCCTGACTCTCCCCTTTGAGCAGAGCCCTGAGGGGTGCATAGTTCCCTGACCACCTGAGAAAGAGCATCCTACAGTTGCAATGAATTTCTTCTACCACCATTGTGGTAGCCGTAGCGTATTTTGAGACCGCTTCCTCCTTAAAGCATAAGCACACGCTCACTGGTAAAAAGAATAAAAAGACAAAGTGCAGACTGCGAAGAAGACATTTGTAAAACATACGAAGCGGGGCCTGCATTGTTGTATAACAGGTTAAGCCACCGTGTGCAGTACCGGCATCCCTTATAGAATCTGGTCTAAGTCCCAGCTGCTCCACTTTCAATCCAGCTCCCTGCTAATGCTCCTGGGAAAGCAGCGGAAGATGGAGCAAGTCCTTGGGCCCCTGCACCCACGTGGGAGACCTGGATGAAGCTCCTGGCTCCTGGCCTCAGCCTGGCCCAGCCCTGGCCATTCCGTCCATTTGGGAAGTGAACCAGTGGATGGGAGACTTCTCTCTCTGCCTCTATGTCTCCCTCTCTGTAACTCTGCCTTTCAAATTAATAAACACATCTTTTAAAAATTAATAAAAAAAAAACAAGGACTGGTATCCAAAATATACAAAGAACTCAAAACTCAAAGAAAACACACACCTGATTTTAAAAGGGGGTAAAAGATCCGAACATATAGCTCACCATAGGGGAACAGGTGGCAAATGACATGAAAAAATGATCAGCCTCATTTGTCATCAGAGAATGGTAAACTAAAACAACAATGAGATACCACGACACATCCCTTGGAATGGTTAAAACCCAAAAACCTATACCACATGTGGGGCACCAGCAGTTCTCATTCTTTGCTGGTAAGAATGCAAAATAAAATGATAAAACCAGTTGGGAGGAGAGGTTAGCAGTTTCTTGCAAAACTAAACACACTCTTACTTTAGAATCTGACAACCATGCTTCTGTGTATATTTATCCAATTTGGTTGAAAACTCAATAAAACTGTATATATTTATAATAGTTATACATTTTTTTAAAAAAAAGGTTTGTTATTTGTTTGAAAGACAGAGTGAGAGAGAGCAAGCGAGAGAGAGAGAGAGAGAGAGAGAGAGAGATGTTCTATCCTCTGGTTCATTCCCCAAATGGCCACAATAGCCAGGTCTGGGCCAGGCTGAATCCAGGAGCCAGGAACTCTATCCATGTCTCCCAAGTGTGACAAGGGGTCCAAGTATGAGGTCATCTTCCGCTGCTTTCACAAGCACTTTAGCGGGGAGCTGGATGGGAAGTAGCTGGGACGGAAACCTGCACTCTGATAAGGGACGTTGGCATCACAGGCAGAACACCAGCCCCGGCAGCCATATTTATAATCACCAAAAACTTGAAGCAACAAAGATACTCTTCAAGGAGTGAACAGGCAGGCATGTCGTGGTGCATCCACACAACAGAATGACATTTAGTGAGGAAAGGAAAGCGTAAAAAGACATGGAGGAAACCAAGAGGCACATTGTGCCGAGAAGCCAATGTGGAAAGACTACATACGGTATGATTTCAATGACATGCCTTCTGGAAAAGGCAGAACGGTGCACACAGTAAAACGATCAGTGGTTGCCCCGGTACTGGGGGAGGTGACAGGTGTGTAGAGGTGGACCTTGAGAGATTCTCAGGTTGTGAAATTATCCTGTGTGCTGCTCTTAGGGTGGACACGTGACATCAGACATTTGACAAAACTCACAGAACTGTACAACACAGAGAGATCTCAATATAAAGTATAGGATTTTGTAAAAATATATCAATAGTAATTCATTAATTGTAACACATAGAGCCCACCAATGCAAGATGGTTATAACAGGGGGAACTGCTGAGTAGAGAGTAGATGGGACTTCTCTGCAGCATCTGCCCAAGTTTTTTGGAAATCTAAGACTGTTCTAAAAATAAAGTTCATTAACAAAAAAAACAAATACACAGATACTAACCACATGCCCTGATTCCTGGCAAAGCAACTAAATTAATGATGTGACATTTTAGAGGGCTTCTAAACTGTGGGAAAGAAAATCATTCTGAATTTCACAGTCCCAAGATTCACTTCCCCCTGGTGCACACTTGTAATCAAATGCCACACCTACGGTGGTACTGAGAACAAACTCCAGTTTCGTATTTCTGCTCTCTGTTTTGACATTTTCTGCATCTTTTTGGTGCAGAACCATAGATTTTTACAGCAATTCCTTAGGTACATGATGGGATCCTTCCCCCCAGTTGCATTCTTAGGCCCAACTCAAGTTGTAAAAAAACTTTTCAGTTCCAGGTTTCTGGGGGAACATTCTTAGAAATGTATTGGGTTTCTCGCTCTTTGCTGGGGGCTATAATCTTAAAAGCAAATTTTATGAAGTTGAACATAGGAGATGGAGCCTTTTCTTGATGCAATCCACATGTTCTAGCTGCAGTATTCATGTTGCATGCTGCTGCGTCACTGAGGTCAGAGGGACCCTCATTCTCACAATCTCCACACCCTACTCTCTCCCCAGGCTGGCTCTTTCTGTCTCCCAGCTACCTTGTGGTATCTTCTTTTATTCACTTTCTCATGATGCAAATTCGCACTCATCACTCAGGCGTGCTTAGAAAGGGGTGATATATATATATATATTTAGATTTATTTTATTTATTTGAAAGACGGAGTTACAGAGAGACGTAGAGACAGAGAGAAGTCTTCCATCCACTGGTTCACTTCCCAGATAGCTGCAACAGCCAGAGCTACACTGTTCTGAAGCCAGGAGCCAGGAGCTTCTTCCAGGTCTCCCACATGGGTGCAGGGGCCCAAGGACTTGGGCCATCTTCTACTGCTTTCCCAGGCCATAGCAGAGAGCTGGATTGAAAGAGGAGCAGCCAGGACTAGAACCGGCGCCCATATGCGATGCTAGCGCTTCAGGTCAGGGCTTTAACCCATTGTGCCACAACACCGGCCCATATATTGTTTCTTGTGTTTGATCAAATCTGTAAGTGGAAACCAGACCCAGAGACATGTCTGCCTTGATGTTCTCAAGGCAGGATTTACAGGATTCTATCAAGCGCATAGCAAAATACTCTGCCTGCTCTTTCAAAATTGAAATGGTGTCTTAGTAAAACATACCTGAACTGCAGCAGCAAATCCACTTATTTGGATTACAGACTGTAGTCACTCATATTAACAAGTAGATGGAGGGGAAACGTTGTCAAAAGGGTAGGCATCAAAGTCAGGAGTCTCTTGGAGGAGCGTGGCATGAGGGCCGTCACTACTGGACAGGCTGCAGGGGCTGGTGGTGAACCAGTGGATGGAAGACCTTTCTATCTTTCTCTGTCTCTCTGTAACTCTGCCTTTTAGATAAATAAATAAGTCTTTAAAAAAAAAAAAAAGGAAAGGAAAGAAAGAAAGAAAAGAAAAACCTCCCCAGGCCCTGTGTCTCAGGGTTAAGCCTCTCCAGGAGATAAAAGACTTCATATTTTAAATGGTCACGGCATCTGCGTTCTCATTCGTGAACAGCACAACAGAGAACCTCCTGGGTGATGGGTAGGCTAAACAACCTTTAGCTCTCCCTCCAATTTAATAATTCTACACGCTAGCCATTCGGTGGGGTTTACAATACAGTCTTACCATACCAGGACTTCTTCCGATGGTTTGAACACAAGACGACCTACTATTTAACAAAGAATAAAACTCTTTCCAAGACACATGAAGTACATAGAACTACATGTTTAAAAAGGGATGCTAATCAATTACCAGCACCCATGATGTCCCTTTTCAGACCTCAAAATAAGTATCAGATTCCATGCGTGTTATCCTTTCACTCTTTAGTGGTACCTGGGAATGTGAAACATAAATTCCGAAGACCGAGACTGAATCCCAAGCGGACCATTTGCATGAGGGCACACATATTCTGAGAAACTGTCATTTCTTCCACCAAGCATTTGCCATTTCCTTTATAACCTCAGTTAGAAGAAATAAAATGAGGCACTATTCTATATTTACAAGTTGCTTGAAGAGTTTTTATGTTTCTTTTTTCCCTATTCGTGCAGAGGAAGGGAGGTCATACATAACAAAACTAACACATTTTAACAAACGGTAGCATAGTTCAGATTTAGGGAAGCTCGGTGATCTGTGAAAGCACCTTTTTATGCAAAATATTTATGTAAGAGTATAAATAAGATGTGCACTGCAAAGTAAAATAAAATAGATCGTGGCATATAGAACACAGCCCATATAACTAAGCCTGTTAACTAATAAATGTTGAACTTTTTTAAAGCTTCCATTCCCCAACACGGTGTGAGAAAAGTCATTGTACTCTCAAAGACTCCCTGTGACATCTTTGCAACCAAGAGCATTGCTCCTAAGACTTCTGTGAACCCTTGAAATGGTCATTTAGCCAGCTGGATTGAGGGCTCCAGTTGCTGGTGCAGAACCAGAGGCGTCATTTTTGCAACTTCCTACTATTTCCTTCACACATCTTTATCTGAAAGATTCTAAATTTCCACCAGCAAACCAAGGCATTGCGACTTGAAATAAATTTTCTGGAACAACAAGGTTTCTCTCCTGCTACCCTTCAATGAGGTCTGTTAGAGATGGCTTCTTTTCAAAAGTGCCTTAATTTGAGTTTTGCTGACATTGCACTGGTGGGCTATAGTTTTCGTGCGAGCTGGCGTTCTGAAGAACAGCCATTTATAAACCAGGTTGTTCCCTCTGTATCATGGGCTGGAGACAAAGTATTGCATCTGGACAATATAAGAGGTTGGTATGAGTTGCATATTCACTGTGCATGGCCTATTTGCATACAAACAAGAGAGATTATTTTTACAAGAGGTTTTCTGTGTTGTTGTTTTGGTCCCTCGGGATGACTGTGGTCAGGACGAAAGGCCCAGGCCATTTTCATACCTGGGATGTCACCGATTTGTGTTGATGTCGCTGTCACTCCCCTTTCTCCCTTACCAGGCACTTCCCAGGCATGGGCGGCCGGGGTTGGGGTGGCGTGGTCACCTCGTGTCTGCACTGTTATGAAAGCATCCTACGTGCTGCCTCTCTTTGTCTTCCGCTGCGAACAGCCTGATAATTTAAAACTCCACTGCTCTTTCCTCATGAACTAGTGGTCACACTTAGCAAGGTTCACAAGGCCCTTCTCAACCTGAATCCAATTTTCCTCTTCTTTTTCAATCTCCCAGCTCACGCAACTTATACCGAGGTCACACGTGAACTGTCTGCACTTCCCTGCTCCCCTGCCTCCAGACCCCTTATGTCTTCCCAAGCTGTTCCCTCTGCCCGGAAGGCCTGTCCCGCCACCGTCCTGTGCAATGCAGACCACTCCCACCACTCTTCCCTCTTCTGTTCACCGGGTCTCTGTCTTCCCCACTCCAAAATCACATAGCTTATTCTTCTGTTCCACAGTCTCCTCATCGCATTTCTGGTCCTTAGCGTAGTAACAGATGCAGAATAGGGGTTCAATAAATCCCCATTTATGACAGCTAATAACTGTTAACTGATTGCTATCAGCTAGGCAGTCTACTAACACTCTAAGGCATTCTCAGGACTTCGAAGGCCTTTGTTTATTTAATCTTCACAATAATCTAAAAACTTTTACAGATGGAGGAAATTGAGTTTCAGAGAGGTTAGGCCACTTGCCCAGGGTCACACAGCTAGTGATATCGGGTTGTTAGCAGGATACAGAGTTGAATCCGTTTTAAATTTTAGATAATACTGTGATTAGATTGTCAGACAGAAGTCAGAGTACTCTTTTAGGGCTGAATGTTGAATAGTTTGGCATTTTCTGAGTCTGTCCACTCTGACCGTGCAAACTTGAGTTACTAACCCTTTCTGAACCTCAGTGTCTTGATTTTTTCAACAGAGAGAACAATACCTAACCTGTGCGGTTGCTATGAGGATCCATGGACAACACCCAGAGAAAGTAGACAGCCCTGTCCCTGGGCATCACCGTAACCACTTGTTCCATCCTGCTCTGAGCCATGACTTGATAGACCATCACTCGCCCACTTGACCTTTAACTTTCTGAAAGTTTGGGACTATTCAACCTTCCAATAGATGCCACCCCACCACCCCACCCCAACCCCCAGCATCCACTAACTCTTAACAAGCCAGAGAATTCTTCTGGAAGCAGAATCTTGGGTAAGCTCCTGGAAGGACACATGACCGTTTCTCCTTCTTGCTATCTAAACTCTCCATTTCCATCCAGTTTTCACCTTCTCCTTTGCTCCCGAGCTCCTGCCTGTCTCCCTGGCCCCTTCCTTTGAACCCCTGGGCAGAGGTGGATGGGCAGGGTCCAGACTTCCAGGCCACATTTGCTTCTGATGTGCAGCTCCACCTGCCTGCTCCGTTGATTGCTCCTTCCCAGCTACGGCTGCCTTGCTTTGTAGATCAAGGCTCTCAGGCTCCAATGGCTGCAGGGTTCGAGTAGGTCCTATAAATCAGTGTAGTAGGCCCCATGGGAAGAGGAGAGCTGCTACCCCACTTGAAGTTGGGTGGTCTCTGCCAAATTTGCCAGGTGTTCCTATGTGGGAAAGTGGGCTCCCTGTTACCAAACACCCAGAAGAGCTGGAAACCCAACTAATTATGAGTGTGCCATTTTTGACTATGCTCTGTCCAGCAGCAATGTTTAGTCCAGCAGAGTTTAGTTTTCTCTGCCCCAGATGGGCTCCCTGGCTCTCGCCTGTATTGTTTAGTTGGTTGCCTGGATTTGTTTTAGAGCCTGACCCAATACAGCTCTCTGCAAGCACAAATCTTTCCATCCATGCATCTTTCTTGCTGCTAGAAATGATCTTTCCCTCCCTGATCTCCCACCATAGGGAGTGTGTGTGTGCAGGGCTTGAGCCTGCAGTCGCATTGGCGTTTGGAATCCTGGTCCTGTTCCCAGCAGTGTGGCAGGGCAAGGCTTGGTTTTCACGTGTGGAAAACCAGGGATAGTAGTAACAGCCCCTGTCCCCTGCAGTGCTGAGGATTAAATGGGGTTGTAGGAGGGGGCTTCAAAAAGTTTGGAGAAAATGGAATTAAACAGTGTTCATTTGGGGGAAAAGTTTTGAAATTCATGTATCTTTTTTTTTTTTTCAGAATACACATTTTCCATGAACTTTTTGATGAGCCCTTGTATAGACTGTAACATGCCGCAGTTTCTGCTGGGTGTTGAGAAACGTTAGCTCCGGTGGGCCTCTTCCCTCTGCTGGTTTCTAAGCAGCATCTATCTGACTCATCTTCATGTTCCCAATACTAAACAAAACTTTATTGCACAAATTAATAAGCAGATAGTCCCACCCCACCCTCTCTGTTCTAGCTCTGAGTCATTACAGCCCGGGCACCGATTTAATATATTCCTAAACCACTTCACTCACCACGATCTCACTCTCCCCTGAGCCTCTGCTTGCCAACAGAGGTCAGAGGCAAAACCGGTGGCCTGGGCCAGCCAGTCCCCTCCAGACACAGAGCCGTGATGGAGAAGTCAGGAGATCTCACGGGCAAGGTCACCTTTCTCAGGTCTCTTGAAAGCCAAGATGCTGCTGATCCTAGGTCACATGCCCAACACGGGACAACAAGGTGGTGACAGGAGCACGCCCTGGACCAGGACCTGAGTGTCATGAGTGTCATGTCTGAGGGTCACGCAGCTTCCACCGCTCGTGTGTTCTGGGGCCAGACACAAACCACAAGCCTGTATCACTTGGTCCTCTGAGGACTGCTGTGGCTACTCCTGGTTTAGAGGCTGTGCCTCGCCGCTAGATTCCTTTTCAACTGGATTTCATTCTGCTTAGAGCACTCTAAATTCACTGTCCACTGAGCAACTGCTGTCAAAGAACCCCAGTCCCACCATCTTGCTAATCTAGGGGTACCACTAGGCTTATTTTTGCCACATTTACTTGCTGTCTTGTTCCTATGCATTATTTTCTTTATAATCCCTCAGCTTTTTATTATCTCTTATCATTAAAGAGTTATTATGAATTTCATGTTTAAATTTACTTAAGCATCCAAATTAAAGTTTAGCTTGATTCTTACTATACAAAATAATTGTGTGGGACCGGTGCTGTGGCGTAGCAGGTAAAGCTGCCACCTGCAGCGCCAGCATCCCATATAAGTGCTGGTTCTAGTCCCAGCTGCTCTACTTCCCATCCAGCTCTCTGCTATGGCCAGGGAAAGCAGTAGAAGATGACCCGGAAGAAGCCCCTGGCTCCTGGCTTGGGATCAGCGCAGTTCCAGCCATTGTGGCCAATTGGGGAGTGAACCAGCGGATGAAAGACCTTCCTCTCTCTCTCTCTCTCCGTGTAATTCTGACTTTCAAATAAATAAATAAATCTTTTAAAAAATAAAATAATTGTGCAATAAACATTTTTGTTCAGTAACATGTTTCTACAATTTTTATTGTTTAATTGACCAGATCCCTAGAGGTGAAATCATTAGCGCAAAGTATGTAAGTGCTTTTATGATAAGCAAAACAGCAATTTGTGTAACTTCTAGAATGAGGAGTGCAAATTTGTTAGCTGCCCATGATGACTGATAAGCAAAAAAAAAAAAAAAAAAACACGTCTTTTAAGTTAAAAGCAAACATAAGATAATTAAAGTCCAAAAGGCTAAAAAGCAAGGTTTACTCAACCAACTCCCTGAATCTACCAACTATAGGATAGGATTCCATTTTAATGCTTTTGGCATCCTACTTCACGTAAAATGATTTTAGGTGGCTTTGTCGTTTGGCTCCCTCTTATTCTATGTATCTGGCTGCCCTCCTCTTATCTGTAGTTGGGAGATCTAGCATAGCAACTTCTAGGTGACAGGTAAGATAACATTTGCTAGAACTCAGTCAGAAAAGGCAGAGCTAAAGAAATCTAGGACAATTAAAAATAGAGGAAATACATGATTTAAAGGAAGGAATGTGGGTCCTGAAGTGTTTGGTTTTGGTGGGGCTTTGCATCCATTGTACAATTCTTGCCACGCTCGCAGCACTGGGAGGTGCTGATGGCCTCCTGTTCACAGTGGAAGGCGCTGAGGCGTGGGGAGTTGGGTCCCTTTGTAAAGTGATACTGGAATCAGCACAGAACTACTTGTTAACTACTATAATTTGGCAGCAGCCCAACTGCCTCAACCCCCGGCATGTGTCTCAGACACAGACAAATGGAAACCAGCTACCTCTGTGCTCTGTGCTCATGGGGAAACTTACACACTTCCTTGTAATACAAAATCACCATGTTTGAGACAGTTACCACTACACTGAGCTTCCTGAAGACAGAAATCATGTTTACTCATTTTGGGTGTGCTTCTAATATGTAGCACAGTGCCTAGAACAAAATGAAACTGAAAAAACTAAGAACATAGAGAAACAGGTGGTGTCCAGAAAGGGAGCCTGCTTGCACAGGCTCAACAGTTTTAAGACTCTTGATACACATTCGTGAATTGCGTCCAGGAAGGTTATACCCACTCCCACTCCCACACTCAGCAGTAGATAAAAGTATCTCTCACTGTACTCTCAGTACCATTGTAACCTCTACTAACCCCCACGAAATGCATGACATGTTCATTTGATAAATGAAAATATCTTGCTGGTGTTCAAACTGGCATTTTTTTAATATTGAGTGGATGAAAATTTTGGCTTTTTTTTTGTACTTACTAAAAATTTTTATTTTGAAATAATTACAGATGAAAGACACTTGAAAAAAACTGTGTAGGAAAGTCTTGTGTATCCTTCACCCAGTCTTCCCCGGTGGTGATGCCATCTTGCATAACTGTTGTATTGTATCAGCTCCAAGAAAAGGACCTGATATAATTCACATCCACTCAGTGTGTACATGTGTGTGTATGTAGTTTTATCACATATAGAGATGCATGTAATCACTGTTTTGATCAAGATATAGAACTATTCCATCACCACAGGTCTCTGCTGCTTTTCCCAGGCCATTAGCAGGGAGCCGGATCTGAAGTAGAGCAACCGGGATATGGACAGGTGCCCTTAGGGGATGCCAGCATCACGGCTGATCGCCTAAGCCAGAATGCCAGCCCCGATTCCATGATGACCCATCCAGGGTTTTGTGCGTGCTAATAGCTCTTTGCCTTTTACCAGCTGAATATTATTCCATGATAGTATGTACTACAATTTGTTTAACTCTCCACTTACTGAAGGACATTTTTTCCATTTTTTTTCTATTATGGATAAAGCCAGTATGAATGATCATGTGTGTGTGTGTGTGTGTGTGAACACAGATCTTTATTTCTCTGGGAGATGTGCCTGAGAAGGCAATTTCAGGTCATATGTTTGGGGTGCGTTTGATTTTCTAAGAAGTCATTTGCCTTGGTGGTGGTACCACGTTACATTCCCCAAAACAATATGTGTGTGATCTAGTTTTTTCACATTCTGCCAGCATTTGATGTTGTCCCTGTTTTTCATCATTATTTTAACCAAAATAATAGGTGTGTGATGATTTTAATTTTGCTGTGGTTTTAATTTTCACTTCCACAATGGCCAGTAAACGCCGACCACCTTTTCATGTGTGTATTTTCCATCTGTTGTACCCTCTCTGGGAAAATGTCTTTTTATATCTCTCCCTGGTTTTCCTGATTCACGGGTGTTTGAATCAGTATTTCTTTACTGTTTAGTGAGAATAACTTTTTTTGTCACTTTTATTTCTTTTTTTAAGTCACTGAATGATTAACAGTACTGAATTGCCTTTATGATTTCATGTTGGTTTCTCTTCTCAGACTGTAAAAATAACATCACTTAGCAGCTGTTTCATTGTTCTCCACTGTGCCTTAAAACTGTCAAGTTCTTGATAGAATTATTAAGTCGCTTGAACATGGTTGTTGGGGGTGATAATCTATGCTTGCCTTTTGCGTAGGTTTCTATTTCAGGTTTACCTAGTTTTATCAGTTTCTGGCTGGTACTGGCCAACAGTTTACCCAACTAAATGTTTCTTCATTGTGTTTTCATTTGATCTTTTAGTACAGCTTTAGATAGGATTAATTTGATCTCCAATAACCTAGAGCTGTGACACTGACTTTTCTGATCTATCCTGACTCTAACACTAGAGGAAGCAAATTTTAGACTCATGTTGTTTCAAAGCTTTCTAAGAAAAAGCCTTCATACTTCTCTATTCCAATTCAACTGTGTGTTTTTTTTTTCTGCTTAGTGATGTAAGTAAGTGACCCTTGAAATTCCTTGTGGGCTTGCTTTCTTCTTTTTATCACCACACTCACCAGAGCGCTCCTCACTGAGAAGCCCCAGACAGCAACTTTCTCGCGACTTAGCGACACGTACAGAACCCTTGACAGTACCCAAAAAGTCCAACACTTGAAATGACAGCGGCAAACACTCTTTGCCTCCTGAAATCCTTCCCAACCCAGTTTCGAGTGGAAAAAGAAGTGCTGACTTTTCTCTGTTTCGTTCATTTAGCTACTCAACAGAGAACACTCCGGGGCTGGCTGACTTGACTCTGTCTTACGTGCCTGTGGCTCTGGATGGACAGCAGAGGGAAGTTGGCTCCAGTGAACGGGTCTGGTTTCCTCACCAGTCTTTTGTAGCTGGGGTCCATCGGGGCTGCCACCCACGTGCCCACCCCTGCCCTGCCCATTCTCAGCTCCCTCCAGCCCACTGCTTCTGCTCAGCTGGATGCTCGGAAAAGGTCACGGAGGGCCTCCGGACTGACATTTTCAGTCTCTTACTTCGCGTTTCTGCAGAATTTGACACGGTGACTGCTCTCGGCCCATCCCTCCCACCTCTCCAAAGCTCTTCTTCCCAGCTTCTCTGGCTGTCTGCCTTCTCATCAAGCCCTCCAACTCGGAGCCCTGTGACAGCAAAGTAGTTCAAAGAACAGAAATTATTTTTTTTCTGGAGGTCAGAAGTCTAAAAGCAGGGCTTTGGCGGTGTTGGTTCTTTCTGAGCACTGTGGGGAAGCATCCGCTCCAGGCCTCTCTCGCTGGCCTGTGCCTGGCTCTGTGTGTGTGTGTCTGTGTCCAAATCCCCTCTTCTTATAACGCCACTGGTCATATTGGATTAGGGTCCACTCTAATGACCTCAGTCTAACTTGATGATTTCTGTAGAGACTCTATCTCTCAGGGCCAGCACTGTGGCATAGTGGTTAAAGCCACCGCCTGCAGTGCTGGCATCCCATATGGGCGCCGGATCGAGTCCCAGCTCCTCCACTTCTGATCCAGCTCTCTGCTATGGCCTGGGAAAGCAGTAGAAGATGGCCCAAGTCCTTGGGCCCCTGCACCCATGTGGAAGACATGGAAGAGGCTTCTGGCTCCTGGTTCCTGGTTTCGGATTGGTGCAGCTTCAGCCATTGTGGCCATCTGGGGAGTGAAACAGCAAATGGAAGACTTCTCTGTCTGTCTCTGCCTTTCTGTAACTCTGTCTTTCAAGCAAACAAATAAAATCTTTAAAAAAAAAAAAGATCCCATCTCTTGCTGTAGTTACATGCTGAGATATGGCTTATGAGCTGGTGGGATTCACCCGGGAGGTTTGTATGCTGTCTCTCAAATGCTCAGTGCAGAACTTCGGTAAATATGCCATGTCTTTCTGTGGACACATCTCTCATCTCTCTCCTCTCTTGGGTTCTATGATATCCCTTTTCTCCTGGTTTACTCCAGTCTCTCTGTCTTGGTGTGGATTGCAGGCTCTTTTTCCTCATTTCCCTCCTTAAATGATAGGCTGGGCGGGTGTTTAGCCCAGTCATTAAGATACCAATTGTGATGCCTGTATCCCATATTTGAGTACCTGGGTTTAATGCCCAACTCTGGCTCCTGACTCCAGCTTCCTACCAGTATGTACCTTGGGAGGCAGTGGTGATAGCTCAAGTAGTTGGGTTCCTGCCACCTACGTGGGACAGCTGGATTGAGTTCCCAGTTCCCAGCTCCTGGCCAGTGTGGACTCTTCGGGAGTAAACCAGTGGTTACGAGTTCTCTCTCTCTGTCTCTCGGTCTCTCTCTCTCTCTCCCCCCCACCTCCTCCTTCTCTCCCAATACATAAATAACTTTTAAAAATATTAAGTCTTCTAAGGCCCACCCTTGACTTCCTCTCAATCCACCATCCCCTCTCCCTAGTGATTTCTCCCACATGAAAGACTGTCAACTATCATCAACTGGACTTTCGCTGAAAGTACACCCCAGCCCAGCCTGTGGGAGCATCTAGCTGCTCCATGGAGTCTCCCATTCAACATGTTAGCCAATGAACTGACGTCTGTCTTCTCTCTACTCCTGGCCCAAACTCCCCCTTCTTCCTTCATGCCCCATTTTGGGAAAGCTGTCACCATGCACTCCAATCTTCCCCTCTCCGCACTCTCCACATCTGTTAAAAGCCAAATCCCATCCATTCCAGTATTTAAAGTC